GCCCTCCATTTCCAGTGGGGGGGGGTCGGGAAACGTCGAAAAAACACATGTGGAACCCTTACCCCCCCAACCCGAAATTCGGGTCTTCGGGTTGGGTTGGGGTGGTCTGGTAGGTAGTCAGAAGCAGTTCCAAAGTTGCCAGGCGGTTGCTCTCCCGGGGGGGCCAGTGTAGTACCGATCTGCCGTGTGTTCAGGGCAGGATGGGCAAGCATCATAGATCAGCGGGGTCGGAGGGCTGGTTCAGCAGGAATTCCCACAAGTTGCTCTCTCTTGTTTCGGACTAGCCTGTTTGTTGGCAAGCGCCTGGGACGTGTCTGGCATTCCCCTGGCGGGATAGCAGGCTTGCTGGGGGGCGGTACGTTGCAAGTCGTCCGTGAGTGATGTGACCTTCATTGTTGGCTGCGCCCCCGTCGAACCCCCAGGCGGCACTGGGCGTGCTGCTGCTCGTCGAGTGTGCCAGAGTTTCTGGACATGTTTTGGGTCTCTTGTGGACGGATTGCCCCGTCCTATAATTCCCCTGCTGACGCTTGAGGCCACTGCAAGCAAGAGTGTGCAGTGTAGGTAGTGATAGTTTGGGACATTGCGACACGGCTAGGGGAAGCACGAATGATGTTTAGTTTTCCCAGCTGCTCGAGTCTCATCATCTGTGTGCTGTGAACACATACTTCCAGTGCGGTCCTACCTGTTACCACGGCAATGGCTTCAGCACTGCTCGAGCGGACTAAATTTGGACTACACGGGGTGTTGAGCAAGGCCTGCGGGAGAATACAGTAGAGGCTCTGCAGTTGATCAACGCACGGGCGAGATGAGATCACTTTCCGCTGGCGTTGCTTCTGGAGCTGGGGCTCTTTTGCCCTGTAGAACAGGGCTTCGTTGGGACCACAACAAGCTGGATCGAACGATTTTGCATGGTGTTCGTCGTCGGGAGTTCCTGGGGGCGGCGAGTGGCCGGCTGGGTCAGGTCGGCTTCGGGAGTGACGGGACTGCGAGGCAATGTTCAGATTTGTTTTTTTGTCGGCGAGCCCACTACGCAATTAATCCGGTTGTCCAGGATTGATTTGGGCAGGGGCCCAGGGAGGTCGACCCACCTGCTGAAATTCCGGAGGCTCTAGCAAGCAAAAGGTGAGCATGCGCTTGGAATTCAGGCAACTGAAGCAGCGTAGCCCTCCCCCTTCCCTCCCTCCTCCTTGGCGGTGGCGTCCTCTCTGGCTCCTCGCTTTCTCCCGCGCTGCGAGGGGCTGCCTTGCCATCGCGTGCCAAAGTTTTTGGGCTTCTGTTCTCCCTCCGAGTGTTCTGTCCAAGCTTATCGTTCGGCGTCGGCGGGTGCATCGGGAGGTGCGGCGGCGAGCGAGAGAGGACAGGAACTGTTTGATCGGTCTGCGTGTCGCAGAGCTCGAGGAGGCGCGACAAAAAACTTGATGTTCAAAGGCGGGTGACCGAAGTTGCGATTGCACTCGGCCCTTTGGGCCTACCTGGACTCGTCGGCGCGGAGGGAGTTTCGACGCCCAGTCTAGAGGGCGGCGCTGCTGCGAGGGAAGCACAGTATGATGCGTGACTAGATGCCAGGGTCACTTGTAGCGATGATATTGGGGAGGCGTCGCAGATTGCCAAGGGAGACTACGGTCCGATCTCGGGGGGCTGCGAGCGAGCAAGGTTGCACAAGACGCACCCTGAGTGGTCCTTTCTTTCTGGTGTCTGGGGGACGTTGTTCTGGCCGCAGGAGTTCAAGAAGCATTCCCGTATTTGGATAGGGAGGGGTGAGCAGGACTGGGACGCCGGGAGACTACCAGGTCCTGCTTGTTTCATAGTGTGGCTCCTATTCGTCCCCTCTCGGAGGCCCCACTTCCTCGGCGCTGCGTTTGGGCCCTCACGGTGGGCAAGGGTGACGGGACATCGGACCGCGCGGGGCTTAGAATGGTTCGCAGTTTAGATGCTTGTTTGCAATATATATATATATATATATGTGTGTGTATTCTCATATATATATATATATTACATCTATCAGGGAGTCAGACCCTGCGTTGATGCGGCAGGCGTCGCGCGTCTTTGCGGGCGGGCGTCAGCGGCGTCGGCGGCGGGAGGGCCCCGTTCTCGCGCCTTGTCGCTCAGCGTGGGGAGCGCCCGGGGAAAACGGAAGCCGAGCTTCTCTTCGGCATTTTCCGACGCTGCTGCGTTTCGCAGCGTGGAGCATTGGGCGCTCAAACTGTCTGCGAAGCAGAACGCGTCGGAGTGCGCGTCCAAGCTGCGTGCTGAAAGATTTGGTTATAGGCAAGTGTCACCTGAACGTGTGTATGGGAGTTTTGAAGTGGGGTTTTGGGCGGGTATTCAGCTGGGGGGTACATCGTTGGCGTCTTGGCGGGTGCATGGGGGATGGCAGTCCTGGCCTTGGCGTCGAGATCCCGTTGCTTAAGCATTCTCTGGGGGAGGATGAGGCGCCGGCGTCGCTCTGAGTTCCTGGTCCAACCGTGCGATCGACATTTCTTTCATTAGTTTTGCTGATGACCCGCGCCGCGCTCAGCGGTTGCGATCGCGCGACGGGTTCGTCGGACTCAGCGCTGCAAGTATGGTTCGTCTTCACGGCAGAGTCGCTATGAGTGGAGTATCTCTGAACTGGGAGCAAGAAATGGGGGCTTGGTGCACTTTGTCGGTCGTGGGGCCACGTGTCTCGGAGGCGCGTTTTCTCTGGCTTCTATGACAGTCGTGCGGATTCCTTGAGGCTTAGCATTGGAGAGGGATCGCTTGCCGCGTGAAACACAACTGTCGTTGCCTTGGGCCGTCTGTTTTTTTCGGATGGGAGTTGTAGCGATGAGTGTCCTCGAAGGCCTCAGAAGGCTCGTCGGAGCTTTTGGCTGCTAGGTAGGTTTTGGCACAGTTGCGCGAATATTTGATGGGGGAGTATCGGGTGTCAAGCTGTCATTAGAGGGGCGCTCACGTCGGGACTCGTTTCCTGGAATGTCCTCTGCTGTGAGCGCCTTGATGGAGCCCTGGCAAATCTTGCTCGTAGGGTCATTCGGGGGAGGGGTGCGTGAAGGAGGAGGTCGGTGGAGGTTTTGAATGCAAAGCTCGTTCTCTTCACGATCTGCATTGCCAGCTTCGTTTTTGCCATCCAGTGTATGAAACGGGTGCAGAATATTGTGCGTTGACCACTCAGTAATCTGCAGCCCATTGCTGCGCTGTTCGGGATCGCGGATCGCGCGTGGGGGGGGGGGGGGGGGGCGAGCCGCGGGAGTTGTGGCAACGCTTTATGCTTGGTTTCTGGTTGTCTGCTAGACTTGCTGAGCTATCTGAAGTGGCCCCCATTGTGCAGAGCTGTCCTGCGGCGCTCTTCTGCGGCCTGGATATCAGGCCCACGTCTCGCGCCTCAGATCCGCATAGCCTGTGCAGCGTATACACAGGTAAACGGATGCCCCGTCCTGCCGTGGTTTTGATCCCTGTCTTTCCTCGGTTCTTCTCCTCTCCCCCCGTTTCTCCGTCCCGTGAGTTTTGTTGTGACCTCAGTCTTGGGGAGTGAGGGGGCGTCTGTGGGGCGTCGTTCCCGAACTTGGGCGGCCCCCGCCACTCCGTCATGTTAATCGTCGTCAATCTAGTCATGGCCATCGCATCTTGTCTCGCCCTGTTACCATTCCGAGTGCGTGTATTCTATGTGGCAGTTTCCGTACCACCACGAGATTTGTTCGTGAACAGTTTGGAAATCTTCGGAGAGGGACAATTTTCCACAGTAGCGGTTCAACATGTTCATGCCGCTGCCTTGTGTATGAATGCGAATTGAGTGACATTAATATCAGTATAGCTATGCAGTGGCTTGGCTGCATGTTTGATCACGCCTTCTTCTTGATACGCACGTATTTGTTCCTTGATCAGGGTATGCTGCATCAGCTGAGTGCTATGTTTGCAGGGCGTGCGCCAAGCTTAAGCCTGACGCTGCCGCTGATGAATGGGGGCGAAGCGAATCAGGCTCAGAATCGTGTTGCGCTGGCATCTACCACGGAGGTTACAGCTGATGTCGCCGTCAAGCCCGGAGTTATTAGTACGCAGCGTTCGATGCTGCTCGAAGCAGCAGTGACGCACCAGTTCGCCATGAAAGTGGTCAAGCAGGCTCGCGATCAGGAGTATTCGCCAAGAGCGAAGAGACAGGAGGGTCACGAGCTCGGGAGTTCTGACTCATTCCGGTTCGCGGCGGCGGCTCCGATTCTCAGCAGCAAGGGCTCAGAGGCGCAGCAGCCAGTGATTCGCAAGTGCATGGACAATTTCGTTCCGGGTTCGATTCAGGCGCAACTGCAGGTTCGCTCGTTCAGGATTGAGAAGATGTTTGGCTCGAGAGTGAGGCTTCTGATTGTCACGCTGGCAGACAAGGAGCTGGAAACCACGGAGGTTTCTCCTGTCTCTGAACACAAAGGGTTCGAACTTTTCAGTGGCCGATGGCCTGCTGGGTACTTCGAGATTGAGGGACTTCGAGATTGAGGGACAAACTACGTTGAATTCTAACTAGTCTTTGCCTGCCAGCAGCTTGCGCCTCTCAGCTGCCGTGTGTAATTCGTGTCGCTCATATAGGCTTATGCCCCTTCCGCTAGTTGCTCGGAATCCGATTGGGTACCACTCAGATGCCGAGTGTAGTTTCGTTATTTCAGAACAGCTGTTGCCGTCTCTCTGGTTGTTTTTAATGACAGTCGGTTCTGACATGCGACCGTGTGGGGTGCCGATGCTTGCGACTGAGGGGTCGCACCAACATTCTCCATCCATCATGTGACTTCGGTCGCACTTGAGCTCCACCACCTCCTCCTCCGCCTTTCTCCTCCTCCTCCCTCCTCCTCCTCCTCCTCCTCCTCCTCTCTCCTCCTCCTCCTCCTCCCACCCCCCTCCCCCCCTCCCCCCCCCCCCCGATCCTTTGCTTCCCTGCCCAGCGGCCCCCCCCGGGCAGCATGGCGCACCACCTGGCGGGGCCCGCGGCCCTCCGGGCGCGCCTGGCGCTCGCCCGGTGCGCCGCCCCCCTGCGGGCGCGCCGGGCCTCGGGCGCCGGCGCGGCGGGCTCCGGCGGCGGCGCCGCCAGCAGCGGGGGCTCCTCTCCGCGGCCGGCGGGGAAGCAGCGGAGGTTCAAGGATGGGGCCCTTCTGCGGCCAGTCCTTATACGTATCCATATCCAGAGCGTCCTGGATTTTTGTTGGGAAGAGGTGCCGCAGCGCCGAGGCGCGCTGGATGTGGACAACGTCAAGCCTCGTGGGGGCAGATTTTTATATCCATGTCCAGTGCGTCTACGGCTTCTGGGGAAGAGAGCCCAAGACTCCAAGACGCACTGGATGTGGATATAACTATTGCCCGCACATTCGGCCACGCGCAGAAGGGGGTTACAGTGGTACCGACTAGACGTAAGAGTGACCTTTCGCCGGAGTGACCTTTGGTGCGGGCCCAAGGGGGCCCCCCGATCGCCGAACGCGATGCGATAGTAGCGTCTTGCGCGCCTGTGTCTGGTCCCCCCGCGGCCCCCGAAAGGCCGCGCACCAAAGGTCACTCTTACCCAGGGTCACTCTTGCGTGTAGCCGATGGTCGGGGAATGAAGAATGGCATATAGATACAAATGCGGAGGTCCGCGCGGATTTCTCGGATCCGCGCTGGACCCCCCTGGCGGCGTTTCCGGCGCCGCCCCTGGCGCGCTCCGCGCGCCAGGAAGGGGGGCCCAGCGCCGACCCAAGAAGTCCGCGCGGACCTTTGAGTTTTTATGTTGATGCCATTCTCCGTTCCCCTACATTCGGCCACGGGCAGAAATGGGGTACAGTGGAGACCCATGCCAAGGAACACCCTGCTTGCCTCCAGGGTGCTTTGGGTTTCGTGGGTTCCGATGGGCTTGCCATGGGAAGCGTGACGTTCCCATACCAACAATCAATGGACGTCCTGGGATCCCAGGGTTGGGTTTCTTGTGGAAGGTCTCTTGTGGTCGAGCCCATACTACAAAGGAGGGAAGCCTTCTTAGAAACACCCCTGCTTTTTAGGAAGGCGCCAGCCTTGTCTTTAGATATAAGGCCAGCGCCTACTAAGAAGCAACCTCCTTCTACGAAGCCTTCCCCCTCCCCCTACCCCTCCCCGCTGCGCGCTGCCAAGTCCTGAGGGATGGGGTCCTAAGGACGACGGGCGCCAAACAACATAATTCCACCCTTGGATCCCTTTCTATCCTTAGATCCCCATCCCTCCGGACCCCATCTTTGGACCATTGAAAGCAACCCACAGATCCGGGTCTTCAGAAAAAAAATGGAGCGGCAGTTTTGGATTCTATTTTCGGAGCCCACGGGTTCTCACGGGCCCTGGGATCATCGGAACACGACTCAGGAAACCGACTTTGGTGAAGTTGCTCTGACTTCTTGGGGACCACGCGTGGAACAAATTGGAGCGCCGGGTGTTTGGGAACGGTCCCACGTAATCCGAGCAGGTTTCTCAGATTGGCTTTTGCTTCCCAACCCTTGGCGGCGCCGCCCCCTGGCGCGCTTCGGGGCCCAGCGGCGTTCCGTAAACTCCGCGCGGACCTCCCAAAGTTTATGCTTATGCTCGCTTGTTGTGCCTCTGCGAGGGGCGGCGGCGACGCGCCGGCCAGGCTGATGCTGGACACCAAGGTCTCGCCGGCTGGCTCGGCGGACGCCCTCTTCCAGGAGTGTATCGGCGCCATCCGGAATCAGCGTGCCAGCCTGGAGACGGACGCCGTGTACCAGGCGGTGGAGACGGGGGCGATCACGAAGCTCAAGCAGGACGAGCTGGAGCTGACGCGGAGGATATTTGCCCGCATCGATCCGTCCCAGAATCTGACGTCTGACCTCAAGCACGCCGGCCACGACATCGACCCGTATTGGAGCCCCTTCCGCAAGGTGGACAACCTCAAGGAGCAGGTCACGGCCGAGTTCGACGAGTATTCGCGCTACGTCAGCGTGGCCGAGCAGAAGCGCGTCCGCATCCAGATCAAGAAGAGCCTGAAGAGGTGCAGCCAGGTGTACAACCCGTACTCGCGGGAGTTCAAGAATTACCACGACAGGCAGGCCAGCGAGACGCCGCCGGTGCCCTTCCGCCTCCCAGACAAGCACTGGGAGCCGACCCCGCTGCAGGTGCGGCTGGCTCGCGAGCGCATCACCTGGCGGGATATCGACATCATTCAGCACTGTCTTGCGGACAACGGTTACATTCGAAGAAGAAGCGTCTGCAGAAACATAACCTTTCGAAGGTCCGCGCGGATGTTTTGGATCCGCGTCTGGCCCCCCTGGCGGCGCCCCTGGCGCCGCCCCGTGGTCGCCCTGCGCGCCAGTGGGGCGTATGCCCAGCGCCGGACGAAGAAATTTGCGCGGACAGCCGAAGGTTTATGTTGATGCAGTCGATTGTTCTTTCACACATCCTGCCCCGCCGGACCACGATGTTCCCAATCAGGAAGCAGAAGGAGCTGGTGCGGGCCGTGAAGCGGGCGCAAAAGATGGCCCTCCTGCCGTACTTCACCAAGCCGCAGGACTACCAGTGCATGCCCCTGATGGATCCGCTGCAGTGGACCGCGGAGCGGCTGACGGACCGCTGGATCGACGACCGGGACCTGGGCAAGCTAAAAGGTACCGATACCGTTAGTCCACGGCCCTCTCCTGGGGTTCATGCTTGCCAGGATTTCGATGGCGACAAGGGCATCCAAGGTGGCCCAGAGAGTCCAGAAGGAGGGAGGAGGAGGAGGAGGAGGAGGTGGAGGAGGAGGAGGAGAGGAGGAGGAGGAGGAGGAGGAGGAGGAGGAGGAGGAGGAGGAGGAGGAGGAGGGGAGGAGCAGGAGGAGGGAGGAGGGGGAGGAGGAGGAGGAGGGAGGAGGGTGAGGAGGAGGAGGAGGAGGAGGAGGAGGAGGGAGGAGGAGGAGGAGGAGGAGGAGGAGGAGGAGGAGGAGGAGGGAGGAGGAGGAGGAGGAGGAGGAGGGAGGAGGAGGAGGAGAGGAGGAGGAGGAGAGGAGGGAGGAGGAGGAGGAGGAGGAGGGAGGAGGAGGAGGAGGAGGAGGGGGAGGAGCAGGAGGAGGGAGGAGGGGGAGGAGGGGGGAGGGAGGGAGAGAGGAGGAGGAGGAGGAGGAGGAGGAGGAGGGAGGAGGAGGAGGAGGAGGAGGGGCAGGAGGAGGAGGAGGAGGAGGAGGAGGAGGAGAGGAGGAGGAGGAGGAGGAGGAGGAGGAGGAGGAGGAGGAGGAGGAGGATCGGCACCTTCTCCTCCAAGGACCGCCGCTCGCAGGCGATGTTGCGGGTGATGATGGAGCGCCACCCGGAGCTGGACTTCCGGCGCTTCCTGCGGCACGAGGCCCAGCTCGCGGAGCGCGCTGCGCAGCAGGCCGCAGCCTCTGGAGCCCCCGGCGGGCAGCCTGCTGCGGCAGGCTAGGGCCACGCTGCCGCCTTCTGTCCGCCCTGCTCTCGGAGGGGCTCGATGCATGCGGTCGGTTTGTGTCGTGTCGTGTGGGCACCGAGGAGGAGGGGGAGGAGGGGGAGGAGGAGGAGGAGGAGGAGGAGGAGGAGGAGGAGGAGGAGGGGGAGGAGGAGGAGGAGGAGGAGGAGGAGGAGGAGGAGGAGTCGGAGGAGGAGGAGGAAGGGGACCATCGCACAGCTTGATGAGTTCGAGTTCTCCGAGTTCACGACGCACCCGCGCCGAGACAGCAGACAACTTGCCGAGTCTGAACCCGCGGCCCTCTTGGGGTCTTTACTCCTCGGGCGATGTGCTGGGAGCTGCGGCCGCCGCCAAAGCTTGGCGGTAAAACTGGCCGAGAGGAACCTGGCAGGCTCGAGGGCCGATCCTCGGGTGGGCTAGCACTTGCGCTCTAGCCAGCTGTGTGCTGGCGTTGTTAATTAGACTGTGATGCTCGAACGCACTCGCGGAACAACAGGCCCCTGGTTCCCGTTTCGGAGTACGAGCCACAATCGAAACATATATGGCCGTGCTCGAGTTGAGCTGGTATGCCAAAATGAAGAGACGATGTCCCTTGGGGTTTTGCGCCAGAGAGGCCAGGCCAGCACGGTATCCAGGGCATCGTTCAAGGCGTCGTGAATGATTCTGGGCGTCGTTCTTAGCAGCAGAAGGGCACAGCGTACACAGGCGACGGCCATGGATCAACTCCCACCGACGGGTTTCTCCAGCTTCTCCTGGGGCAGGGGGAGGCGGAGGAGGAGGCCTCGGAGGCGGGGGGGACGGCCCCAGGGTCCCAGGCGTAGGCAGCGGAGACAGCTCCCATCGGTGGGTTTCTGCTCTGCGGCTTGGCTGGGGCTCTCTTCCCAGGGCGCGGGGCCAACGCGGGCCACTTGGGTCAAATCTCCGCGACAAAGAGCAGGAAGCGGCAAAGTAGGCGTTCATCGTGCTTGGCCAACTCTGGCTCGGCCTCGGGAGGCCTGCGAAACTTCATGGCAGCTCTCTTGGCCGCTTTGTCGGCCGCGTCATTACCTTCAGCATGGTTGAAATCTTCCTGATCATTAAAATCCTGGCTCAGGTTCTGGCGGGCTTTGACTTTGACGAGACAATTCTCGGGCGGCACAACAGCTTTGCCCATCAGAACATTGAAACCTGCGTGCACATTCCTCCCGGGGTGCCCTGAATGGTGATACAGCTGGATCGCTCCTAGGTAATCCGTGTGTACTCGCTGTACTAGCGGCGATATGGAGCAGGCTGCGACTGTAGCCAGCGTCTCCGCCACCCTGGAGCCTTGAGGGGACATGTTTCCGAATTGGCCTGAGATAATGGCGTGGGGCTTTCCTTCTTTCATGGATAATATTGCCCAGCCTGCGGTGCGGTAAGATGTGTTTTGGGACGGGTCGTTGTTGCCGTCCACATACGCTTGTCCTTCGAAAGCTTATTCTAGCGTGCATGTGGGATCTTTCCACCGAATATCGCAACTTCTCAACCCTGTCCCCTCGGGAGCTCCAATATTAAAATCAGGCGCCTGCCGATATCCGAATTTAATGAGCTGATCTCTGTCATGATTGGCTATCAACCCCAGCTCTTCGGACCAAAAAGCTTGGCTCTCGCCGCTTGGGCCAGGAGGCAGACAAAGAGACGGTGGTTGATGGAGTCCGAGGGGGCTCCACATTCACACGTGCATTCTATGTTATATCCTGCGTCTTTGGTTCTGGCCTTTGTCCAGCAGCCTTGCGTGAGACAAGTCAACAAACTGCCCCTCCCTTGCTTGCTGCGGGTCGGGCTCGCCAAAACTCGGGAGGCAATTCTGGAGTCAAGGGTGGTCCCAGGGTGGCCCAGATTTGAGGCAGCGGCTTCAGCAAGCTGTTTCTCCCAGTCCTGAGGCAAAAGGTTCTGCACAAAGCCGGGGGGAAAGCAAGTTGAAAGGGTACTCATGTCCTTCTCTGCCCCGGAAGGCGAGTGGGGGGGCCAGCTTCCACCCGAGACGCTGCAAGGATACCAGCATGGCGCCGAACGGCCCACGCACGCTCCCCCAACAGGCGGGGGCTTGACCCAGCAGGGCCTCTCCGCGGGCCCGAGGCCACGGTGAGGTAGCACGCCCTTGGCCTCTATTCGTGGCGGCCGTCTACACTATTACATGCCGAACCCGAGCAGGACCCATAGCCAGCTTGCAAGTAGGGTATCCGACCACACTCAGGCTGCGGGTCCTGCTTCGGGTGGCGCATTCAGGCCCTGCGAGCTTCAGGTACCGCTGTCGGGCTACTGTTAGCTGCGTGTTGTTGAGGCCCGTGACTTCGTGACCGAGCGATGTTGCCGCGAAGATTCCTGTGTGGTAGATTTTCTTGGTGTCTCCTCCTGCCCTCTGATAGCTCCCAGTCTCCTCGTCCTCTTCTTGACCTTGTTCACCCTAGCGGCGGCGAGGCGGTCCTTTGTCCATCGGCACCTGGGAGCTCCTGCGGCGGTCTCGCAGCTGAGGTTGGGGCCCGAGATGTCCAGCGACGATCCTGCTCGATCTCGGAGCTTGTGCTTGGGACCCTTACGCAGCGCTGTGCAGGAGGCTAGCATCTGAGTCTTGGCGGGGGCGACCGAGCTGTCTAGATCCTGCTGGATGCACTGGATGAGGCTTCTCGTCGAACCACGGTTTAGCCCCAGGATGACATTATTCATATAGACCGAATGCGACTCAATGAGGCGGTCATCGATGAACATGTGGAGGTCTAAAGTGGGGTTCTGCTGGGTTCAGGAGTCGAGAGGGTCTACGGCATACATCTGTATGAGCTACGTGACAAACCCACACCCCGCCGCTGTCCCATGTACTGTGTTACCGGCCTTCGCGACTATGTCCCGAAATGCGACGAACCCGGGGCTAGCGTAGATGCTGAGAATGATCCTTAGTAGTGTAGCTGGACACCCATTATTTAGCGCTCTGGTAGCAAGCTTGCTGCGGTTAGTTTGCTCATCGTAGTTGCTGGGATCGCAGAGGATCATGCCAGAATGCAGTTGCTCGTTGCGCTTGCTGTGCAGTGAGCGGCTTGAACAAGGATCACTTACTTTTCAAAAGGGGCTCTGTCGTTCCTCAGGCTTGCATGCTCCTTATGCGATATGTATTATAGATTGTTCCCTTCCTTACGCGTTACTCCTTGGAAAAAGGGGCTTCGTTTCTTATTTATCGTTCCTTAGGTCAGGCCGATGGCTGTAGTATTCGCAGTCTAAACTTTGCTTGAAAACGAGCCCTACTATGGAGTGACCAGCTTGATGGGCTAGGCCTCCTGTGCGGCCTCTCCCATCCGCGAGCGGCTGACCTGACGAACGCGAGCCCAAACTCGGTACAGGCCTGGCATCATCCCAATCGAACGCATCGCTGGTTTCGTGGCTGAGGGGTCTTACTGCCTGTGTTTTCGTGATGAGCACCGAGATTATGGCCTGTATCTGAGAGGGCATGAAACCTGGCCTTCGAACCATCAGGAGCAGCAGTGTGATCAGGTCCGCCTGCTGCTCTGTGAGCAGGGTGAACTGCCCGGGGTGGGCTCAGCCCCGCGTGGAAGCCGTGCTCGTTGCGAAGCTCTTGGCGGCGCCTTGCATTTTCTGACTCGTCATGGGCCCCAGGGCAACCCTGTCGTCGATGTCCCTTGGAATCGGAGAAATTTAGGGGTTCGAGGCAGTGTCCCAAATATTTGCCAGCCGTTCTGCTTCCCCTTCGAGAATGCTGCTGGGTCGTCCTGACCACTTGCCACTGATAAAGGTGGTGGCAGGCTGTCAAGCATCAGGGCCCCTTGTCCATCTCCGGGCCCAGCCGACACTTCCCTGGAGTGACGTTTGTACCAGCGAAGCCCAGGATTTGGAAGCTTACAAAACTTGTCTTACGCTCGTACTCGGTGTTGTTTGTCAAGATCCTGGAGAATGGAGCCGACGGCGTGGTTTGCGGTGCCCGCGGATAGGACTCCTGCTGCAGCGTCTGCTTGCAACAGGTCGCATAGGCTGGTGGCTTCGTCCAGGCTGTCCTTCAAGGTCAGGACAGTGTGAAACTCTGCTGTCCTGCAGACCCGCGATCAGATGCATTACCTGCGACATGCCCTGCTTACCGGCAGCGACGTTGTTGATGTCGACGAGTCGATTTCGGAGCCATTTGTGCGGGGTCTCCAGGGATCTCTAACAGGTTCTGGACCGATGTTCTTTCTCCTTCGCTCTGACCCACTTGATTTTTTTGGGGGGGCGCGCTCGAGGGGGCGACGAGTGCCGAAGCGGGGTGTCTGTGCTGCTGCTGATCGACTTTTTGAGGTTGTGGACGACGGCGAAGTATCAAACGTCGTGGTCGACTGCTGCTGCTGCATTCCGAGAGGCTTGACGGCATCGGTAAGCAGTGGGTCGGCATACTGTTGTGCGGCTTGGCTCTGCACCCACTGGCTCGGGCGCAGCTGGGGCCCTATCGGCGCTCTGTAGGCAACCTCTGCGGCTTCTTCAGCACTGGAATCAGGGCATTGTTGCTACATTAAACGTCTAGGCAGACCGGCCTGTGCGGCGACAACGGATAATTGGTCCACGTCCGGACCTTGTCGATCTTCCACCCCTGGGTTTCGCTGATCAGGAAATAGTCCAAGATGCTTTGCGACGTAGGCGTTCGTCACGTGGGCCTTTGGGGTAACCAAACGGAGCGAGGCCCTATGGAGGAAATCTGTGTTTTCGATTTTCTTGGGGGGCATGTTGAAGTCCCCTGCGGCGATGTTGGGGAGCTTGCTGAGCTCCTGCTGCGCTGCGATGTCTGCTGGCAGGCCTAGATTAGTCTCCACTAGACCTTCTGACGATTTGAAGCACGCACTCAAATGCCCACCTTAGGAAGATCTGGCGCCTCAAGGCGCGCGCCCGTCAGGCGGCTGGGGTCGACCGAAGCAGGGAAAAACATGGGCTCGATCCCGAGGTCGAGCTGGTCTCTGATGACGAGGGCCACTCTGTTGATGCGCGCGGAGCTGTCGTTCGCGGCTGCCGGTGGGATATGAGGCAGCCAGCCCCGACGCTGGCGCCGCTGAACCTTCTGAGCAATGGCGTCCTCATCGATGAGTCTGTGCCCCTGGACGCAACTCGCCGTCGCGTCATTGGCCCAGTCTGACTCGAGGAACTGCTCAAACGTGTTCCAGCAGCTGCCAGTGAACGGTACGGCTGGGCGGGGCGGCAGGGTCGGCGCCGCCTGCTGTGGCGACGGCCTCCTTGATCCTCTTGGCGGTCTCGGCGTCGGCGTTCTCCTCCATGAGCTGCGCCACTTCCGAGGGCGCGTCTGCTGTGCGCTTATCCCCGCTGCCGAAGCTCACGAAAGCCATTGCCTCGTCCTCCTCCTCCGAGTCTGGGCCGACTGGGAGGTGCTGCGCAGCCTCTGGCTGGAGCGCCGCAGCAGCTGCGAACAGTGGCGGCGCCTGCAGCAGGGCTGCCTTCGCCGACGGCGGTGGCTGCTGCTGTCTCAGCGTGACGGACATTGCTGGGGCTGGGTGTCGCGGACTGCGCTGCCATGGCTTGCTCGTGCTGCTGCTGGAGCTTGTCGAAGGTATCGGCCAGGGACTGTGCTTTCTGTTGAAGCTCGGGAGGGACCGCGCCGTCTGACAGGATCTTTGCCTGCAGCGCCGCGTAGACCATGTCGGAAGTGTCGTTCTGGGCCGTGGCTTCCTGCGCTGCTGCCGAAGCTGCCAAGGCGCGCTGGGCCTCCAGCATCTGTAGCTCCTCCTTAGCGTCGGCGATCTCCTTCGTGCGGCTTTGGTACGCTGAAGCGCTGAAGCCAACGTGGCAATCTGAGCTGCGGTATCCTGGAGGTCGGTCTCACGGTCGTCGAGCTTCGCTTTGATGGCGGTGATCTGGCCACTGAGCGATTGAGTCTGTAGGTCCAGGCTCTTGCCACGGAGAGCCTCCAACTTCGCGTTCTTGAGTACCTCCAGCGCATTATTGTACTCCTTGGCCTGTGCTCCAACCCACTTGCGCCAGAAAGTGACCCGAGCCTGGGCCAGAGCCACTGGGTCGGGCGCCTTGGGACTGCTGGCTGGCTCGGGGTTGGTGGTGGCGGTGTCCTCGGGCTCGAAACGGGTGCGCTGCTGGTGCCCTTCTCGGTGGGTGCGCGGCGGGCGAGATGCTGTGCAGCTCGAACCTCGACGACCCGACGAGGGGGGCTGCTGCCCGAGAGACGTGCTGCAGCGAGGGCGGGCTTCTGGCGCTGGCCCACTCCTGGCCCTTTGCAGCCCGCCTGGGAGCACACCGGGCAGCGGTGATGAGGGGCCCGGCCGCTGCACGGCTGGAGCGGGCGGGCCCGGGGCCGGGAGCGGAGCGAGGGATCGCTTCGCTGCCCTGGAGCACTGCGCTCCAGAACCTCCTCGAGGCTTGGCCACGGATGCGGCCAAAGCTAACCGCTGAGTCTCGGGCGTCTATAGCCCTTCACAACGTTTGGCCTTGAACCAAAATGGCTACGGGGGAGAAGGAGGAGGAGGAGGAGGAGGAGGAGGAGGAGGAGGAGGAGGAGGAGGAGGAGGAGGAGGAGGAGGAGGGGGAGGGGGAGAGGAGGAGGGGGGGGAGCAGGAGGAGCAGGTCAGGGGATGGGGAGAGGGGAGGAGAGCAGCAGCAGGAGGAGGAGGATGAGGAGGAGCTCGATGAGGAGCGGACCTCGATGAGGAGGAGGAGGAGGAGGAGGAGGAGGAGGAGGAGGAGGAGGAGGAGGAGGAGGAGGAGGAGGATGAGGAGGAGGGACGACGACCTCCCATTCCCTCTCTCCCCACTGCTGACGTCAGCAGGTTCCGTGTCGTGTCGACGCGGCGGCCACCCCTGGGCGGGCGTTCCGGGTTGGCATCTGCCAGCGCTATTTGAGCGATGGAACACATGGGTGTCGTTTGCGCCGACATTGGCGCGTAAGCTGCCCGCGCAAGGTCGCGCGTAAGCGCCTTCGTCTCCAATGCAGCGTGCCGCGCCGGCGGCCCGCGTAGACCGCCGCAAATGGTCGCTACGTCACCTCGCGTAAGACCCGTTTTTGATCGTCGCTCACTTGTTCAAGGTCGAACAATCCACGCGGTATCAGAAACCAACGCCAGGGTCTTCACGCCACGAAGCCGCCATGCACCACGTCGTCTGGTCGGCCGAGGAACCTGGGATTTGGGGGATTGAGTTCGGGGCAGTTATGCACCGAGCTTCTTGGACGGCCAGGCGACTCGGTGTACATGTCGAGCCCCTCCCGTGCTCCTCGTGCTGGTCTTCCCCCTGCTCCTCCCGTGCTACTGTGCCGCTCTGGCTTCCGCCCTGAGGCCGGCGGCGCATGCAACTGCGGAGCTGGATGAGCGACCGCGAGGGCGAAAACAGGCACAGCATAGTACACTTGTGTAGCAAGCTGGGGAGGGTATGCGGGGACAGTGTGAACACGCAGTATGGTACTTCGAGGATGCAACTCCTGGAAGGTGGAATTCAACATCGGCGCTCGTTATCTGTCGTCGGAAACGGGCCGAATTCTGCCGAATGTTGTTTGATTATGTGTAACGCCGCTCAATGATTGAGACCTTCCTCCGTCTGCTGGACCCGCGGCATCAGATAAGGTTTTGCTGCTCCACCTCCACCTCCTCCACCTCCTCCTCTTTCTCCTCCTCCCTCTTCGGCCCGGTGCTGGACTCTTCTGAGCGGGCGCCCCGACGCCGAAGCGACGTGCGCGCAGGGCTACTTACCGCGCTGCAGCAGACGCAGCACTTTTGGGCTGGTCGTCCGTCCGCATCCCCGAGAGGCCCTCCTGGGAGCCAAAGAGCCGCAGGGCCCCCGAGAGAGCCCCGCGATGCTCCGAGCAGTCCACAGGAGGGCCCAGCCACACATCTCTGGGGTCTGCGATCGGTGGGCAGAGGGCCGGGTTGCTCTACTGCGCTGCGGGCTCACTGATCAGCGAGCGAAGAACGGTATAAAATAAACTTTTTCGCCGTCGGGGACACCTGCCCGTGGGCGGCTGGAAAGTTTATACCCCTGCGGTGCCACCGTAAGGGTATAAACTTTCCAGCCGCCCTGGGGCAGGTGTCCCCGACGGCGAACAAGTTTCTGTTATACTGTTCTTCGCCCGTGAAACTGAGCCGACGGTCGTTGCTGCGGGCACGAAGGCACAAGTGCATCCCTCTCTGCGCACTGCCGGCACGAAGGCGCAGGCGTGCTCCCCCGCGCCTCGTTCGCCCCCTCTCCTCGCGCCGACCCTCGAGGCGTACAGAACCATGGCGCCCTCCTTCCCTCCGCCCCTCCTGCTCCAGATTTCGTAATACAAGGGAGGGGGTCTGGACCCTCCAAGACAAGCCACTTCAGACCTTTCCCGTGGGAGAACCCTCCAACACATTGTCCCCAGACCCCCCAGGCCCTCCAAGATAGCCTGGAAGAGACCCCCCCCGAAATGAGACCCCCCTTCCTTTATTACGAAATCTGGAGTATGTGGTTCAGCCCGCTTTGCCACTTGGCCGTGATCGTGGTATGTCACCCCTGTGGAGCGCTCGGACAAGAGTTCCGACCGCCTGGAGTCGCCTGGAAGAAGCCCTCGGGTGGTGAGCTGGGGAGGCACGGGAACGCTAACAACCAGAAACCTGATGACATGTGCTGGAGTGCCCACCCACAAAACAGGCTGAGTTCGCCTTTTCGCTCCCAAGGGGCCTCTGAGGCCTGAGGATGGTCCGACAATGGCCCCAGAGGAGCCCCAGAGAGGCCCAAGACGGTCGACTGGGGCCCCCAGGACCCTTCAGGATGACTCCGAGACGGCCGAAGATGGTTTCGAGACGGGCCTCGAGTCTGCCAAGGCAGCCCCAGATGGCCTCCAGACGGTCCCAGGCATCTCACGATGGCCCAACGACGGCCCCTAGAGGACCCCAAGAGGCGCCCAAGAGACTTCCAAGAGGCCCCCACGGAAGCCAATATCCTGGAACAACCCAAGGAACACCACAGGTTTGTCAAGATCTCGCCTTTGTGCTTTCGAGGGGCCTCTCAAGCCTCAGGATGGTCCAAGAGTGGGCCGACTTGGGGACCTCGTGTACAGTGGATGCGCGCATCAAGAAACCAGCTGCTTTTCGGCAGGGTACCCTGTGTTCCTTCGCTCAGCGCGCTGCGCGGGGACTTCCCGCCTCCGTTGAAGAAACTGCTGCGTTCGGAGTGCTCCGGGCTCCGGAGGTGGGGCGGGAGGCTGGCGCCGCAGCGCCGATGCATCTGCCGTGCGGCTCGATGTGGGGCCCGATTCGCTTTGCGTCGACGTCCTCCTCCCTCCTCCCCCCCTCCCCCCCTCCCTCCTCCCTCCCCCCTCCTCCCTCCTCTTCCTCCTCCTCCCTCCTCCTCCTCCTCCTCCTCCTCCTGCTCCTCCTCCTCCTCCTCGATGCATCGCCGGTGCATCGGCGATGCGGTTCGATCCTCCCGCCCCAGCTGCTCCGACGCCATCCTATAGGAGGCCTCTTTAAGGAGGGGCGGCCGCGAGAATCCCAGATCCCCGACGTCGTCATGTTTTGTCGTGACGTCGACCCCCAGAGTTAAGCCGGGCCTGTCCCTCTAGAGGAGGAATATTCAAACATCGTAAAACAAATATGCTGGGTTTCTTAAGAAGCGTGGGGAGGTACCCCCCCCGATAGGGGTCTATCTCGCCTCGTCGTCGCGCCGCGACGGGGTTCGGAGCGCCTTCGGCGCGCGGTGGCTGCCCGCGACGGGGCTCGATGTGGGGCTGTCGGCGGGGGTCACGCCAGTCCGACGCTTATTGAGAAACTCAGAGTAGTCCAGGACCGTCGAGTTTTTGTTGACTATTATTGTACATCTTTTCGACTATTTTGGAGTTTTCGTTCAAAATCCGCCTGTAGTGGGACGCCCGACCTAACCCTAGAGGTCTCGGTCCATTTCCCCGGACCGGTTTCTCCTCCTGAGTCGTTTTTCGACGGCCCCGAGGCCCGGCAAGGGAACCCAGAAAGCCGAAATTAGCTGACAACCTCCCGACGTGATTTTTGTTCATGCCTCGAGGGGGTCTGGGGAGGGGGAAGGAGGGCCGAGTGTCTGGTCGGGCACGTCCCCCTACAGGCAGACTATTGAGGACAGATGAAGCATCGTCAGACAGCTTGCACACATTATCACACGATGCAGCACATTGCCCCCCGACACTGTTTTTTCTTACTATTTTTGAGCATTCCTCCTGCAGAGGAGGAGGAGGAGGAGGAGGAGGAGGAGGAGGAGGAGGAGGAGGAGGAGGAGGAGGAGGAGGAGGAGGAGGAGGAGGAGGAGGTGCAGCACACTGTCCCCCGACACTGTTGTCTTACTAGTGTTGAGCATCCCTCCTGCAGATGGACACGCCCGACCGAAGCCGAGTGCACTCACGCAGCGGGGACCGCGGCGGGGCGCCCCGGGCGGCCAGGCCGGAGCACCACCCCTGGCAGCGGGCACGGGGCGGCATCGCGTGCGCACCCGGGGGCCGGGCGGCGGCGGCAGCGCACCCGGGGCAGCGGTGGAGAGTCCGCCAGGGAGCAGGCGGGGCGGCGGACCCTGGTCGTCCAGGTAAAGTTCGGGAGGGGCGGGGGGACGCATGCACGGAAGCCAAGGGCTCCCTCGAGGGCGCGAAGTTATTCGCGCTTCGCGCTTCGCGGTCCTCGTTCCGTCTCCCCCTCCTCCTCGTCCTCCTATTCTCCCTTTGGGAGGGCGGCGCGAGAGCGCGAAGTTATTCGCGCTTCGCGCTTCGCGCAGCGCGAAGCGCGAAGCTGGGAGCCCTTGGAAGCGTGAGGAGAGGGTTCGATTGAGCCAGATCGGAGGTGGATAGACCTCCGACCCCGACACGTCGATTAGCGGATGGGCCGTTTTCGGTTCGCGAGGGGGCCTCGCGGCCGTCATGTTTGCGGGTCCAGGTCCGTCGGTTTCGGTCCCGGGCCGCTTTCACTAGGGGGAGGTTTACTGAAGGGTGGTTTGTCCACCGCCTAGTCGATGGCCAGCAGGTGTGGAGGAAGGCGGAGGGCCGAAGCAGAGGCCACCGTTCCCGGGGGGGGCAAGGGCCGGGGGAGGGGTCGTTTCGATTCCTCCGATTCGGTCCGATTCGCTTTCGACTGTTTCCGCTTCCGATTCGATTCGATCTGGGATTCCGATTTGGGCTCCGATTTCTCAATGGAGGCCTATTAGCGTGCCGATTTCTGCCGATTCGACTTCTCCCGACTCGGCTGCTGATTTCCGCCGATCCGATTCATTTCGATCGCCGATCCGACTTATCGAGTCGATTCTGGGCTCTCCTGGGGACCAGGCAGGCAGCTTCGAAACGGGTCGGACACCCAAACAGGCGATAACCTCAAACTCTTGCAAACATCTGAGGAAGATCAGTTCTTGTGCCTTGTCGCGCTCTCCTGGGGAGCATCTTGGAGCCCTCTTGGATGCCTCTTGGAGCCTCTTGGGGGGCCTCTTGGGGCTTCCTGGGTCGTCTTAGGGGGGCTCTTTGCTTGTCTGACACCTTCGGAGGCCGTATTGGGGGCCTCTCTGGGCCGTCTTCGTGCATTATCGGAGCGCTTCAGGGCCTTCGTGGGAGACTCTTGGACCGACTTGGGGTCCTCTTCGGCCGATTTGGAGCCCTCTTGGGAGCCGAATGATTGTCTTGGTTGGCGCTATCTTGGAGGCCTCGTCGGGCGTCTTGGGCGGTCGAAAACCCAGACTGGCGAGAACGTCAACCTCGTTGACAAGCTGCGCTGATGAAACTACAGATTGTTGGCCTGTGGCCTCCTTGGAAGCCTCTTGGGGTGCTCCTGGGGCTTCTTGGGAGCCTCTTGGGGCCTCTCGGGTCGCCTTCGGGTGCCCTCGACGAGCCCGGAAGCCTTCGGCGGCCGTCTTCGGCCCCCTTTCCCCCCGCGCGCGCCGTCCGGACACCGCGCCCCCGCTTCCCGGCGTTCTCTTCGGCCGCCAGACGGCCACGTTGGCCTCAAAGACGGCTCTCGAGGCAGCCACGATGACATCAGACAGCCTAAGGTGACCCAAGAAGGCACACGAGGCTCTCAGGGCGGCCTCAAGACGGTCGGGAGAAGCTCCCACGACGGCCCAAGAGGGCTCCAAGAGAAAGCACGGGGAGGCAAAAACCAATGACTCCCTATTGCTTTTGAAGGATGTAAGGTTTTCGCTTGTTTCGGTGTCCGACCGCCCAAGACGGCTCAATAGGCCTCCGAGATAGCTCCAGACGGCCTGCGAGACCGTCAAGAGGGCCCCAAGTCGGTCCAGGAGAATTCCAAGATCGCCCAAGTTGCTCCCAAGAGACTCCCAATAGCACCCTGAGGCGCTCCAAGAGGTCACCAAAGCTAGAAAGCACTAGGAATGCTCTCAGACAGCAGACGTGCATTCTACCGCACCAACTC